CTTGTCATAATATCATTGTATTCAGAAAAATAATCTCGAACAAAAAGAAACAGAAACATACAGTGTCATATTTTGTCAAAAAAGCATCATCAGTCGATCGCTTTCAGTTCGAATTAGAAAAAAAAAATTATCACAGCCTAATCATAGGTTATGATGATTAATTTCTTTCGCGTTTCTGTTTTTGAAATCGGATAGTTAACAGCGGCCCTATGTGCAGTTTTGTCAGTTGGCCTGGATATTTTTACGAAATGTATCGAATATTCTGAGCTCAATTTTTTTTTCGAAACATGAATTTTGATTATTGAAAGGAAATTGAATATCATTTAATGTTCACTAGAATCAATCTTCCTAAAATAAAAACTTCTCTCCAGAAGGCACCAATGGAAATTCCTTTTTTTTTGCTGTACTCCTATGCGCATACCTTCAAACATCGCCTGGATGCGCCCCTGAATCTTTCCTCTTTTTAATATAATTGTATACAGGCTGATTCACGGTGGATGGCGCATTACATTAGACGTTTCTGGAGAACGTAACGTAGGATTATACTGGAAATTTGGTTTCTTGGATAATTAGTTGTGTTCTATCCAGCTGAAATATTCTCAACATTGTGACGTTGCCGCTTATATTGAAAAGTAGCAACATCTTTGATTTTTTGAATGGGACACCCTATTTATTATTCCATTTTCACATTCTTCCTAAAGAGCAGATTTCATCGATCTATCACACTTGGGGTCTAGCAGGAATGATAACAAAGAAATAGGGTGTGAAAAATCGAGATTTTTCAACTTCAAGAATTTCTTGGTTGAAAATCTTAATTCTGAACCACACCCTGTAATTGGGGAAGACCACTGATTTTTTAAAACGACATTATCGTGAACTCTATACTGAAAAACTACCAGTGAATTAATTTCGAATTTTTTCATTCATGCTAAGACGATGAAAAAAAATAAATTAGTATATGTCCATTTCAAAACACACAATTCCTGCGCCATTTGAAATTTCATCAATTCATTGATGTGACTGGTGCGACGTCTTAGTCCCAACACGCCTATTGTCCTTGAACTGACCAATTACACTGCAACACTGCAGAATGACGAGGTATCAGAGAGAGATAGCTACAGTTCGGGACTAATACGTCACGACTCCACCATCATATTTGGCTGTTTGAAATATCGAATGAAATATGCTGATTTCAAAACGATATAGATTCGATTCCCTTCAACTTCAACTCATAATATTGATTGCACATAAAATGTAAATCATGATTCGTCGATTGAAAGGGGTTTGCACGGATTTCTTCCCTCAGTGGTCTTCCCCAATAAAAAGTTGAGATAGGGACATGAAAACCATTTTGACCAATTATGAATAGTTTCCACACAAAATTACCTATACTTAAAGTTGAAAAATCTCGATTTTTCACACCCTATTTCTCTGTAATTGTCACTGCTAGATCACAAGTGTAATAGGTCAATGGAATCAGCTCTTCAGGAAGAATCTGAAAATGGAATATTATACAGGGTGTCCTATTCAAAAAATCAAAGTTGTAGCTACTTTTTTTTCAGAATAATCCTCAGTTGGGTTCTCCAGAAACGTCTAATGTTTCATCCACCATGAATCAGCCTGTATACACAGTAAAAAAATAGAGTGAAATTTAACACTATACCTGTTTCCAGAAGGACAACTAAACCTTCGAATAAATGATTTAACTCTATAGTTTAGTATATTATAGTGTGATTTTTTCAATTTAATTAGTGTAAATTTTCAAGGCAATCGTATTCAAACTTACTCTATTTATTTCTCTAAATATATTGAATAAATACAAAAATAGAGATAGAAGAAACAATCTCGAAAGTGAACATTCCACTCAAGACCCAAGCTAGTGTCATCAATGTCATCACTTTATAGAGTGAAATTTAATAACCGAATATTACATAGTCACAATAGTTGATAGTTGAAATAGAATAGTAGAGGGTAGATTTCATACTATAAACAGTGTCGGATCCACCGGAAATTGACACTACTAGGTGTTGAGGTGCAAATAAGGAGTTTTAGATTGATATAGAACACTGGTATAGACGTTCAGCGGCGAGATATCGGCAGTCTCGGCAGCGCCACCTTCATACAGTCGCGCAAATTGACGGATGAGAAGTAGTGTGACGTTTTAATATTTTAATCGTTTGATATTCGGAAAATGACTCGAGTCCCACTAGACTAATTAGTTCAACTTATCTGTTTCATAAATCGTTCGGAATAATAACTGGAATAGGTATACGGAATACGTTAATAACTCAATGTTGAAAAAAATCTCTCACTACGCGGGTATAGTAAAAAAGCTGCTTGAAGCTTATATCATGATCATTATATTTTTGACACTATAATCAGTATTACTTATTTCACTATCCAGTAGACTAAACGATCTGAAACTGTATAGATTGATATTTCATCGTATATAGATTGAATTGAACAATGATAGAGTGTCAATTTAATCGACAAGAGTGGAACATTCAAGTTCACTAGTGTGAGTTAACACTAGTACGAATTCAATTTCAATTGTTTGTGACTTGAGTTATATGAATTGCTATTTTATTGAAATTTCAGGAATATAGAGTGCATTCAATACGAGATTAGTGCAAATTCAATCTAGAATTAGTTTCGAAAGAGATAATCTGCGAGAAGTGTAGATATACAGTTGATTGCAGTATCACAGTGAGGTTGTCAGAGTATTTTAACTCCAAAAACATACTCTGCAAATTTAAGTCGAAGCGTTTTTTCACTATACAGGGTGTTTCATGGGTAAAGGGAAACATTTCAATGGTAGATAGGGGTCGCTTAGTTGGTTCTGAAAATACCATATTAGATGAGTCTCACAGTCTTTATAACGGAGATATACAGGTCGATTTATCGATTTCGAATAATTATTCACTCGTCCATAAGTATTTAACTACCCAGTATATTTTCCTCAAATTTGGAATAGAGCTTATACTTGGGACGTTGAATTCATTGATCTATCGGGAGGAGTGAAAAAATTTAGTTAAATTATAACATTAGTTTGTCGAACTAAAATCATTTTATATAAAATAATTTTTAATCCCAGGTTCGGCTTAAGGAAAAAATTACATTTATTCGAAAAATGAAAAAAACACTGTATTCGATAATTAACAAAGTTCAACAAAAGAATCGTGAAGAAGAGGAAATACTGAATTGGATTCGATACTTTTTGTTCTCCCGCCACCAATTAGTTAAAGTTATGATGTGATGTTATGTTTAGTCTATGCATTTCCTTGCACGTTTTATGATATGTCTTACGGATTCTCTAATAATATCGGGAAGTGTTTCTTAAGTCTTCACAAACATCTTCAATTCGTTGAAGAAGTTCCTCTCTAGTATATGAATTTCTTGTGAGTAAACTGTGCATTTCAAATATCCCCAAACAGCATAATCCAATGGGTTGAGGTCTGGGGATATTGAAAGCCAGTTATGAGGACCACCCCTTCCTATCCACATATCAGGAAAGTTATCATTCAGGAAATCTCTTACAATGACCCTGAAATGTGGAGGGGCACCATTATGTTGAAAATACATTCCTCGAATATCTTCATCCTCCAGCAAAACTGGTAACATATTTTGAATGAAATCCAAATAATCTTCACCAGACAATCTTATTGGCAATACATGAGGCCCAATCAGAAAATTTATGTTGGGAGTTACTTTGTCTGGTAGCGCAAGGATTCTCCTCTGCCCAAACATGAGTATTTGCGAGAATTAAAAACGCCGTCTCTAGTGAATTGAGCTTCATCTGTGAATAATATCCTATGCACCAGCCTGTCATTCCTCAAAATCCATCTACAGAAATTCTGACGTGGAATCTCATCTCCTGGTTCTAACCTCTGCACTTGTTGTACATGGGATGGATACAATTTTTTTTTCAATCTCCGCCAGACAGTTACATGAGGGACATTCACGGCATGAGTAAGTCTTCTTGTACTAATTCTGGGGTTATCTTGTAGAACATTCAGAATATTTTCTTCTGCACCTGAATGTCTTCTTTCATTGCAATCATTCAAAACTGAAGTAGGAAATCGTCAATGTTCTCTGATGTAGTTGTAACCCCGAATAAATGTCTTGTGGTTTGGTACGCGTCGTGCAGGGAATCTTGTGGTATATTCCCTACATGCAGCAATTTCGTTGCCATTACAAAAACCATAAATGAATATGATATCAGCGTATATTCTTGATTTGAAATTTGGTACGGCATTGTTGTTCAACAAGGAAAGCTGATTTTACTTTGATATGCTCATGAGATATTATGAATCAAACAATGAAATATGACATGTTATTATTAGCTGTCAAAAAATGATAAGTATTTGTTCTAGCCTCCTGGATCTGTGTTAAATTCGATTCAAAGAAATATCTTCTTCAAATTCCAGGATAAAAAGGCTGTTAACTTCCCATTCATTTTTTGAGCGATTAATCAACTAGTAGATATCAAATAGTTATAATTAAAACTGGTTTCAGTTTCATAACTTCAATACTCTTCAACTTTACATACTTTCAACTTTCTGTTCATCAGAGTTTCTCCTCCCCTTCACGATTCTTTTGTTGAACTTTGTTGATTATATTTTTATTTTTTCTTTAAGCCCACCCTGGATTTCCACTCCGCCCGATAGATCAATGAATTCAACGTCCCAAGTATAAGCTCTATACCAAATTTGAGGAAAATATACTGGGTAGTTAAATACTTATGGACGAGTGAATAATTATTCGAAATCGATAAATCACCCTGTATCTCCGTTATAGAGACTGTGAGACTCATCAGAACCAACTAAGCGACCCCTATCTACCATTGAAATATTTCCCTTTACCTATGAAACACCCTGTATAGATAACAGCTAGAGTAGATGAGACTATTTTCTGGAAATATCACCCATCACATTCGCATCCAGTAACACAGCATCGATTCGTTCCAGTGCGGTACAGTGCGCGCCCGAGCCTGAGCCCAGCGGCGCCTGAGCCGTACGAACCTGAGGGCGGCCGTGCCGCAGCTCGCCTCCGACCTGGATCACCCGGCAGGGTTCCCCCCCTCCCCGTGGGCGGCGGTGCTGGGCCACCAGGCGGCGGCCACCATGATGCAGACCAGGGAGCACCACGCGGCCTACGGGACGCACCATCCGGCCGCCCCTATGGACCTGCACGTGCCGCAGGCGTTCCCCTATTACCGGTAAGACCCTACTTGCGTCATGCGCAGGCAGGCATTTTCATGAATTTTAGACTAAAATAGGGCCAAAAATACATGCCGTCCTCATAGACCGGCATATGCCGCACGAGTTTCCCTATTACTGGCAAGAGCCGTTACCACCGATAAAACAAGGCCTGCATGCTCCGTGGGTGACGTCACTTAGTCAGGCCTAACCAGCGGCTCGAAACGACAAGCGCTTATAGCGCTATAAGGCGACCGCGTATTTCGATTTTAGTTTTAGATCATTATTGAGCCGATTTTGCTTTTTTTTTGAAGGCTTCCGGTTGAAAGAGGATGCCAGCCATCAACTGAGCCCTTCTTCGCATCCCATTCGATTTTATTATGGAAAAACGAAGTTTCAAAGCAAAAACCTACAGCAACCCATTCGAATTAAATATATTGGCAAAAATTGTAGTGATTCAATCTCATTAGAGGTAAACTTCACACCTACTTATACAGGGCCCGCAGAACATAAACTTATCATGAGATTGATCGAAAGAAAATTGGGGAAAATGTATTTTAGTTTGATAGACATGCCATTTGTTATACCTAATTACCTATATTTATCTTGGAGAATTCCTATTACCTAAAAAATTAGCCAGTGAGTGTTTTCAATTTCCTGTTGTTGGATTTTTTACCCAATCGGTCGTTAGACTTGAAACAGTAATTTTTAAGTAGAGTGTTTGTAGTACATGTTAATATAATAGTTGCAATTTGATCATTGGAATGAATTCTGCATTCATTGCCACGAGGCAAATGACCGTTTTCAGAGAGAAATTTGAGAATGTATTGAGTCAGAAACCAAAGAGTCCAATGCATTCGAAATATGTTTCAAAACCCTCTTTTTCTGATTATCAAGACATTTTCCAGAATTATGTATCTCGTTTTTATCTATTTCAATTAGTAATTCCTTGATTTGATTGATATTATTGGAGATAAAAGGTGTTTTCAGATTGGCTTTTAGAGATGTTTGTATCGCTAGGTCATACAAAAATGATTCCACATTCAAAACAAAATCAATCACAACCGAATATGTAATTACGGGCCCTGAAGAATAAGACAATTTGAATAATGTGACTTTTTGCAAATCGATAATTTTGAACCATTTTTCGGGCAACTGAAAAGACTCTAATACAACTAGAAATTCTTGAAATTCTGTGTAGCAAAATGATTTTTGGTAATTTTCGAATTCAGTTTTACTTTTGGTAAGTGCTTGTGCCAAATTTTTAGTCTCTAGTATCTCAAGTTTTTCATCACGACTTGTGCGTAATTTTACATCTTTCGATAAATAAGATGGACAGTTAGGAAATTGAGTAGGAATAACATCTCGTTTGAGCCTAGGAATTTACAAATCTATTGCTACAGTTTTGCCAGTTTTTGAATCGGTTGCAGTAGATGAAGTAATAATATCATCTTTAGTAAAATGTAATTCACATACTTTACTGTACTTAGATGGAGTCGTAAAATCCTTGCGGTGAATTGCATGTACCCACTTTTTCGATAGTTCCTTGTCCAACGGGAAACTAAAAGCATGAACTTTTGGACCACCCTAATAATTCCCCCGACAAAAGGGAATACAACACTTGTAAGGCATTGTTATTTCGCCTATCACAACACGAAATATTTCACAAAACAGTAATTTCTCCGCCAATTATTTTGATGAATAAACAACAAGAGAATTCGAGCACACGCGATTTACCTACGCCACCGTTCTTAAACAAAAACAAACTGACGATCGATCGACGCGAATGCCTTGGAAGATGGCCTGAGTATGCGACGTCACGAGCTGTTTACGTCAGAGTCTGTTGGCCTTGTTTTATCGGTGGTAACGCAAGAGCCCTACTTGCGTCATGCGCAGTTAGACATTTTTGGGTGTAGGTACCTCTAGTCCATAAAAGTTGGAAAACAGTAGGGCCAAATATACATACATACATTCGGCCGTCCCCATGGACCTGCACCTGTCGCAGGCATTCTCCTATTACCGGTAAGGACCCTCCTTGCGTCATGCGCAGTCAAACATTTTTGAAATGAGAGTTGGACAAGAATAGGGCCAAACATACATACATACATACATCCAGCCGCCCCATGGACCTGCACGTGCCGCAGGCGTTCTCCTATTACCGGTTAGGGCCCAACTTGCGTCATGCGCAGCCAGACATTCTCGAGTGTACGTCCAGGCCGCATGTAAGTCAGACGAAAATAAGCCAAACATACATGCAAACGCCGGCCTGGCCGCCCCTGTAGACCTGCACGTGTCGCAGGCCTTATCATATTACCGGGGAAGGTTATATTCGCGTTATGCGCAGTTAGAAATTTTTGGGTGTGAGTCCATGAAAGTTGGACAAAAATAGGGCAGAACATACATCATACATACATCCGGCCGCCTTCATGGACCTGCACGTGTCACATGCGTTCTCCTATTACCAGCAAGGGCCCTACTCGCGTCATGCGCAGCCAGACATTTTACGTCCAGTCCATGAAAGTTAGAGGAGAATAGGCCAAACATACATACATTCATTGGGCCGTCCTCATAGACCTGCACGTGCCACAGCGTTACCACCATAGACCTATTATCCACAGGGATAATAGGTCTATGGTTACCACCGATAAAACAAGGCCAGCAGACTCTGACGTAAACAGCTCGTGACGTCGCATACTCAGGCCATCTTCCAAGGCATTCGCGTCGATCGATCGTCAGTTTGTTTTTGTTTAAGAACGGTGGCGTAGGTAGCGTGTGCTCGAATTCTCTTGTTGTTTATTCATCAAAATAATTGGCGGAGAAATTACTGTTTTGTGAAATATTTCGTGTTGTGATAGGCGAAATAACAATGCCTTATAAGTGTTGTGTTCCCTTTTGTCGGGGGAATTATGTGGGTGGTCCAAAAGTTCATGCTTTTAGTTTCCCGTTGGACAAGGAACTATCGAAAAAGTGGGTACATGCAATTCACCGCAAGGATTTTACGACTCCATCTAAGTACAGTAAAGTATGTGAATTACATTTTACTAAAGATGATATTATTACTTCATCTACTGCAACCGATTCAAAAACTGGCAAAACTGTAACAATAGATTTGAAAATTTCTAGGCTCCAACGAGATGTTATTCCCACTCAATTTCCCAACTGTCCATCTTATTTATCGAAAGATGTAAAATTACGCACAAGTCGTGATGAAAAACTTGAGATACTAGAGACTAAAAATTTGGCACAAGCACTTACCAAAAGTGAAACTGAATTCGAAAATTACCAAAATTCATTTTGCTACACAGAATTTCAAGAATTTCTAGTTGTATTAGAGTCTTTTCAGTTGTCCGAAAAGTGGTTCAAAATTATCGATTTGCAAAAAGTCACATTATTCAAATTGTCTTATTCTCCAGGGCCCGTAATTACATATTCGGTTGTGATTGATTTTGTTTTGAATGTGGAATCATTTTTGTATGACCTAGCGATACAAACATCTCTAAAAGCCAATCTGAAAACACCTTTTATCTCTAATAATATCAATCAAATCAAGGAATTACTAATTGAAATAGATAAAAACGAGATACATAATTCGAGAAAATGTCTTGATAATCAGAAAAAAAGGGTTTTGAAACATATTTCGAATGCATTGGACTCTTTGATTTCTGACTCGGTTTCAGATCTTGATGAAGATTCCGAAAACACTTCAGCTTTATTGTTCCTCTCTGAGCAAATTAAATTACATACATCCTGCAAAGAACGATATCGTTATTCGAATAATACTATAATTTTAGCCTCTATAATTCATACAATAAGTCCACATGCTTATAAATTTTTAAGACATTTTGGAGTACTCATATTACATCATTCAGGTACAGTCAAATCGATATGTAGTTCGTTGTTAACAGATCCTATACATTCGAAGAAAGACAAATGTCGTTATCTCATGCAGAAAATGTATTTAAGTTATTAGGTGAGCGTGAAAAATATGTCATTTTGATGATGGATGAAGTTCATATAAAGCCATATTTAGATTACAAGGCAGGCAATATTGTAGGAACGGCATTTAATAATTCATGTTTAGCAAATTCCGCATTTGTCTTCATGATAGCAAGCGTTATGTCAAATGTGAAAGAAGTTGTTCATATAAGTCCAAAATCAAAAAGAGATCACCTCATGATTTTTTCTTTAATAAAGAGAGTCATAAATAGATCAATCTCACGATAAGTTTATGTTCTGCGGGCCCTGTATAAGTAGGTGTGAAGTTTACCTTCACCACAATTTTTGCCAATATATTTAATTCGAATGGGTTGCTGTAGGTGGATATTTGTGTTTTATCCTGGTTTTTGATTTGAAACTTCGTATTTCCATAATAACATCGAATGGGATGCGAAGAAGGGCTCAGTTGACGGCTGGCATCCTCTTTCAACCGGAAGCCTTCAAAAAAAAGCAAAATCGGCTCAATAATGATCTAAAACTAAAATCGAAATACGCGGTCGCCTTATAGCGCTATAAGCGCTTGTCGTTTCGAGCCGCTGGTTAGGCCTGACTAAGTGACGTCACCCACGGAGCATGCAGGCCTTGTTTTATCGGTGGTAACGGCCACAGGCGTTCTCCCATTACCAGTAAGGGACCTACTTGCGTCATGCGCAGTCAGACATTTTCGCGTGTACATCTTGTCCATGAAAGTTGGACAAAAATTGGGCCAAATATACATACATCCGGCCCCTTCCATGGACCTGCACGTGCCGCAGGCGATCCCCTATTACCGGTAAGGACCCTAATTGCGTCATGCGCAGTCAGACATTTTTAGGTGTACCTTTAGTCCATGAAAGTTAACAGCTATTTATACAGTGCGTCCATAAAGTAACGCATAAATTCATTAATTGGCTAAATGAACGATAAAATTAGAGATTCCCGAAACAGGTCGATTTTTGATTTCAATTTACTATTGTTTCATATCATAATCTAATATACAGGGTGAACCACTTTCGTGTAATGACGTCATCACCATTTTTTTCAAATGGAACCCCCCCTTTTTTTCAATTTCCAAATTGCCCTTGCTGAGCTGATTCCAAAAATGTATAATATGTTGCTTCAAATTGGTACAGGGTGGAAAGTAATACGTTACTGAATGTAATAAACAAATTAAATGGAATTAGGTAGTTATGCAATTAATGTGATACACTTCCAAAAACAAACAAACAAACGAAAATTCCCAATAAATGTTCAAATTGTTCTCCATTGACCGTTAGACAATGACTGAACCGGGCATTACTTTCGTCTCTAACATTCTGCAGCATAGCGGGTGTTATGCCCGGTATTTCTTGTCTGATTCGGCCTTGTAGTTGAGGGATATTTCCAGGTCTGTTTGAGTAGACTTTGGATTTTAAATAACCCCATAAAAAGAAGTCTAATGGGCTCAGATCAGGTGATCTAGCAGGCCATTCCACTGGTCCCCTTCTTCCTATCCACCTTTGTGGAAAAGTTGTGTTTAAAAAATCGCGCACAGTTACTGCGAAATGTGGCGGTGCGCCATCCTATATTGAAACCAGATTCTGCGGTCTACATTAGTGGGTATTTGAATATCAGGAAAAAGCTGGATCAGATCAGGAATTAATGTATTTTGTAGCAAATCCAGATATAATGCTCCTGTTATGTTTTCATCGAAAAAATATGGACCAATAATTGTATTTCTCACAATACCAGCCCATACGTTAGTTTTTTGTGGTCTGTGCGTATGGTACTCTTGCATCCAGTGTGGATTTTCATCAGACCAATAACGGGTGTTTTGCCGGTTAACATGACCGTTCAAATAAAACGTTGCCTCGTCCGAAAATAAAACGTTATCAAGGAAATTGTTATTTTGGTTCATCATATACTCGCAGAATTCAGTTCTTCGGTCAAAGTCGTCTTCAGCCAATTCATGGATGAGGCGTACTTTATAAGGATGGCATTTTACCTTTTTAAAAATGTTTGATACTGAAGACTTTCCAATACCAAAATCCTTAGATAATCCTCGCACTGTACAGTGTGGATTTTCTACAGCCGACAAAATTTTTGGTCTACCTTGCTTTGCTGCATCCCTCACAGAATGTCCTAATTCTCTGTATTTTCGCTCTATTCTACTTACCGTAGATTTTGAAATAGGTTCACGATCTGGGTGCATTTCATGGAATAATCGGCATACCTCTTGTTGAGTCCGCATCTTATCGCCAATACCAATCATCATTAATATTTCAATTTCGGAAAAAAGTTCACGAACGTACCTTCTCTAAAGCGTTAACAATACGAGACTGTGCTTCAATGTTTTTGACAGTTTTGTCAAATTAAAAAAATGGTGAAAGATAATACCAAACAAAAAAAATTTTATAGTCCACGGGCTTGGATCACTAATAAAAGCTGTAAGATACACAATTATTACTTTGCAAGTGAATTTTTGCATTTTTGCCCACCCTGTACCAATTTGCAGCAACATATTATACATTTTTGGAATCAGCTCAGCAAAGGCAATTTGGAAATTGAAAAAAAAGGGGGGGTTCCATTTGAAAAAAATTGTGATGACGTCATTACACGAAAGTGGTTCATCCTGTATATTAGATTATGATTTGAAACAATAGTAAATTGAAATCAAAAATCGACCTGTTTCGGGAATTTCTAATTTTATTGTTCATTTAGCCAATAATGAATTTATGCGTTACTTTATGGACGCACTGGTATATGATTTTATCCACAAACGCATATATTTGAGAGCGTCGTTCTTAAAATAATTGTGCTGCAAAACGGTCTTATCTCTCGAGTCTCGATCAAATTAAATGTGTTTCATGATCTAAGGTTACAAAAGTGTAGTGTAGGCCTACACATAGTATGCCATGGATAATTATTGACATTACATATTACACTCTAGTAATAGGTCAAATTGATAATCAAATAGTTGGTCATCCAATAATTATATAAAATAAATAAAAAATATCATCTTTCTCGGAAAGTTATCATGAGGGAATCGAAAACTTTCAATACCATTGGAATAAAAAATAATCGGAAACAAACATACTGAAGAAGTAAAATTTTTCGTTTATTGACAGTGCCTCGATGGGGGAAAGTGCATTTTTACCATATATCAACATATCTTCGTAATACTTTGTTTCGAAGGAAAATTGGCTGGATTCAATAAACATTTCTAAATTCAAAGAAAACAAAAAAAAAACAATTGGTAGTGGCTGCTCTCTACGCGTCTGTATCGATGTGGCCTCTGAAAAATCTTATAGGGAGAAGAGAAAAACAT